ATATTTTCAGTTACAGGCTGAGTCATTTCTACCTTCTCCTCTCTGTCAACGCTCTCTGGTTTCATTTAAAAGAGTTGATCGTCAGATATTGTCCAAGACTATACCTCAAGGGTGGATATAGCTCGCTCACACCGAGGACCTATCCACGTCATCATTTATCCAGAATGCTTTGTATGTAAATAAAATGGCTCCGTCCGTGTTAAAATACATTTTTAAAATTTTACAAAACTAAACAGCCTACAGTATTTTTACAGTCTTTATTTTACAGTTAAAATATATGTTTATAAATAAAGTCTAACGTTACAACTAATCAGGGATCCCTTTAAAACACACACATATATAAAATGATACCTTTAAATGTTGGTCTTTGTTCCGGATTGTGATCCCAGCAGCTCTTCATAAGCTGAATCATCTCCACAGGCGTGTCTTCTGGAATGAGGTTCTCTGCCGGTCGGTCACCATGGCGAACACACTGGCTCACATGCTCGTCACTCCTGGCATCTGAACACAGAAATATGTAAATGATAAAGTTACAAAAACTCGCTGTTCATGCATCTTAAACTGGATCCCATCGCAGCATACTTAGATAGGGTTCTTGATTCGTGAGAATGACCCAAACCACGATAGCAAAGCTGTACACATCAGACTTCTCCGAGGAGGGTGTATGGATACTTTTCAGGTGCTCTGGCGCCATGTAGCTTAGCGTGCCGGCTCCTCTCTGCCCAGCTGTCAGATCYCTAGAACTCCTCTTGCGAGACTCCTGCTTGGTGAGCTTGCTCCACGTCTGGCAGGTGGCCAGGCCGAGATCGGCGATCTAAAAAGCACAGAAGTAAACGTTTTTTAAGTGACTTTCAATGAAGCAAATAGGTTTAAAAAACAAATAAAAAAAACTGCACCTTGATGTGAAAATCCTCATCTACTAAAATGTTTTCCGGCTTGATGTCCTTGTGTAAGACCTTTTTTTCCGTGAGGTACACCATCCCCTCCAGAATCTCTAAGATGATTCTTCCTTTGATGGACACTGGCACACTGACCTAAAGCAACACAGCCAAATTAAGGTTTTTGACACTACAATTCAAAACGTTAATCATTAAGAAAATAAATGCTTTTGTGCTCTACACGAGATTAGAAAATTTAGACCCACTGACCGTATCCAGCATTTCCAAGAGATTGCCTCTGGGGAGGAGCTCCATAACCAGAGAGCAGTCTTTATCCTCCATAATCACACCGAGCAACTTGACCACACGCTTGTGGTTAAGGCTCGCCATGATGTTGCCCTCCTCCAGCAGTGACCTTTTACTGTCTCTGGAAAGTATGGAGAATAATGAGAAATAAAAAAAGTTTGCCTCAAGCAACTGTCAACACGCATCATTTTGAATCTTATGAAGAGGCAGGATTCAAAATGGCAACAGTTAAGTAATACCATGTTTTTTTATTGTTTTTTTTTTAACAAATCAATCATTTTTACAGCCATTAAGCTTAAATTTGGTGTGGTAGTAGCTGTGTGTCATTCCTCAAACATACTCCAAGCCCTAACAGTTTGCATGAAACAGAAGATGGTTTAGACACGTGCAGACTAGAGGGGGGACAAGAGAATGTTCAAGAYGCAGCTGCCAGGAAAAAGATGAAGAGGAAGACCAAAAAGGGGATAAAATGGATGCAGAGACAGGACAGGGTGAGATGGAGGATGACTCGGTGTAGCAAACCCAAAAAAGAGAACAGTCAAAAGAATAAGTTGGCTTCATATAGTCTATAATAATTCAATTTATAGCTACAGGGTCCTTGTGGAAATTCAGAATGCCTTTGCATGTGTTTTATGTGTGGCAGTATGCCCTGTAGGCTTTGAATGCACCACACAAGTGCCTGCATCTAATTGGTTGTGGCTGCCTGTATATAAAGGGCCCTCCCTCTACCTGTGTGACATGTTTGCCTCCCGGTTCAGACTACYGTGGTTGYGGGTGCTGCACGCTAGCCCCAGGCTAGTRGGTGCGTGAAGGGTGTGTTTAACGACCCTTGATCCTTTTTATGGTACGGAGTGCTTCTACTTCCTGGGTGTTTTTGTTTGTAGCCTAGCTTTAACTTAGTGTGGCAGCATGCCCTGTAGGCTTTGAATGCACCACACAAGAGCATGCATCTAATTGGTTGTGGCGCTGGCTGCCTGTATATAAAGGG